TTCCTGCTTCAGACTGTGCTCATGGGCTCTCACTTTGAGTGACTCTTACTGTCGGTTCTGAGATACTTCTGTAGGGATGTGACTCGTACATCTTAGCCTGTTAAATCTTGAGTCATAATGGATCCGATTCAGTATAGTGGCTACTTTTTAATAGATTTCAATATCAAGCTAAAGATGATTTACAGGTATGTCAAGTTGGTAGTTCCAAGAGCCGTCCCTTTTTTCCAGTTGCCCAGTTTTATCTTTGCCTTCTGTTCCACAGACAGCAGCAGAGCAGTAGGACAGAAGGATCTTAGAAATCGTTGAATCTTACAAGGCCACTGAGGTATAACATAAAGTATTGATAAACTACTGTTTCTAACAGACAAATGTTAAATTTTATATACAAGGTTTGGGCTCTATTTCAATCAGTTTCAGTCAAAACAGATGAGACATCAGAAAAACTTGGCTTTGGGATAGTAGAGATTTTTGTTAACTGGGAATTTTTAAAGCCAGTTTTGACTAACCTTTTGACTACACTACAAATGTATTTTTGCGTGAAAGCTGGTTCACAAATTCCAAGGCACTTAACAGTTTTATCAGTTGCAAACTGATGAACATAAACACTTGTCTTTATGCACCGTATTTATATACTGGGATTGTGCAAAAGGCCAATAGAAATGCTGTGTCTACAAAATGAGGCAATTAAAATGAAGGATTAAATTTATTTTGTGGTGGGAATAAACCTAATTAGGCTTGTGAGGCAAGACTTTTAATAAGGTAGAGATAATACTCATGTTTCTGTGTTTTCTGCTGTTTGGATGCAAATTTTCCCATCTGGTGGAGCAAACAAATGAGCAGGAATAACGATGATGGAATATAATCCTCTCTCAGTGGTTAGAGAATCGTGCTTCCTGAGCTGGACACAACACTGCTTCATAAATACCCATCCAAGCCACTGTGCTTTCTTCCCCTGTTTCCCAGAGATCTGTTCACTTCCCAAGGCTTTTCCCTCCTCACATGTTGTATCTGCTGCTTCCTCCCTCCTCTCCCCCTATATTGTTCCCGAGTTTCACAATACCAGTTTTCTTTCTCTTTCACTGGTTTCTGTTGGACTGGCACTAGGTATTGTTAGAACAAGAGAAGTGCAGCAGAGGAAGAGCTGGCAGGGAGAAGGGAGACCGGGCCCTTCTGACAGCCTCTGTGAGCCCACAGCCGATGCGGTTTTGCCTTTCACCTCAGAAGCCAAGCCTTGCTGCCCAGCCCAATAAAGCCAGGCTCCCCCTGAAAACGGCTGCCCACAGGTGACGTACAGCTGGGTTAGCTGCTTCCCAGGAAGCTGCGCCGGTACTTTTACAGGGCTAGTTTCAGAATAAGACAGCAAAGCAGAATGTTAAATGCACAGGTACTGGCACAGATCTGTACTTCACAATTGTAAACTGTTTCATTACCTCAGTGTCCTGCACACCAAGCAGACGGAGACAATGAAGTAACTCCTGAAACTTTATTTTTCACTACATAGAGACTTCAAGTGGGGCAGGTATGATTGCCAGGAAGGATGATGCTCTTCCCCAACCACCCACCTAAATTAGAACGTGCTGTTCATATACAAGTATCGCCTGTGTTGTCGCCTTGCTATCAATTCCTTCAGCTGTCTGCTGATTTTTGGTAAGTATGTGTTGTTGGGCTCTCTCCATCAGAATTAAAATGCAACTTTGCTAACTTCATCAGAGACCTTGCTTTAAAAAATAACAGTACACCATTCAGTTGTACCAAGAAATTCAATTCACCAAGAAAAGAACTGCTCCTTCCCACATGTAGGTCAGAGGGCTTTGAAAAGAGGCACTGTGAAGATGCACGATTATGAAAATGAGGGTACATGTAAATCTGTGTAGATGCACCCAACAGAGCAGCCCCTTGTCCACCACTTCCCTCTTAGAAGCCTGGTGAGCGCAGGCAGCTGCCCAAGCAGAGCCTGACTAGTGGCATTCACAACCTTCATCAGTGACAGGAGGTAAAACTATTTTTGTCATACTTGTTTCCAAGGAAGTAGCTGTGCTGCTGAGAAGGCTGCAAGTCACAGAAATTCAGTGAATTTGTACTTTGTGCCTTTGCAGTAACTTTAATAGGTGACAGCAAAATCTTTTTTTTCTGTAATAGGATTATGAAAAAACCCTTCAGTGTTGAGTGGTGATTGGCTTGTTGTGCTGTGGGTGTCTCGTGGATTGATCTATGGGCACAGGCTGTGGTGAAGTGCTACCACCATCCTGCTCTTCCAGTGGTGTTTCTGTCTGCCGAGGCGTATGTGCTGCAGCCTCTTGGCTGCACTGACAGGCGCTGTGCAGCAGCAGGACATCTCCGTGCCCCGCTGCCAGCGTGAATGCGACACTCGGCAGAGGAAACCCGGGTCTTGTGCACAGGCTGATGGCTGTAGGTGGAACAGAATGTACCACAGCTCTTGGCATCTCCTTCCAGCTGTGACAAATGAAATGCTGTTGCATGAAGTCCCTCCAAGGTCCTGCTGCCATTAAGCTCTAACCTGCATGTCCATTACAAATGGTGTTGCTCTCAGCGGGATGTTGCACAGCCAGCCAGTCTGTACCACACAACTGCCTTCACCCCTCGGCCGTGTCCCTCTGTGCTGGAGCAAGTGGGAAACATCTCTGATGGTTGGGTTTGTCACTGCCCCTTGGTTACCTGCAGGGCACAGCCCCGCTGCTGTGCAGTGAGGTGGGCAGCACGGCTGGGTTCAGGCTGCAGAAGCCCCTGGTCAGCCGGTGTCCCTGCTGTTCTGCTGCTCTGGTTCTACTCCTGTTTGGCAGCCTCCTGCGATGGGAGCGCAGCAAAAACAAGGGGAAGCTCACGCTGCTGCTCAGCAGAACACAGGATTGACTCACTCTCTGTGATGTGCCCTAGTCCAGGTAGTTTTGGCTGTTCCCGAATCGCAGTGGGATTAGTGGGTGTTTATACTTTCTGAGCACATCACAGCCTTGTTTCCTTCTCCCCTTGCTGCTGGCGGTTTCGCTCCAGAGCTCTGCCTATTCAGACCAACATCTCCATGTAATGACTGGCTAGTAAACCAAAAACTAGCATCCCAGGCTTTTCTCAACCTTCCTGCATGATATGAATTTTCCAACCTATTTTAAGTGATACTACAGAGAAGAAAATAATCTCTTTACCAAGGATATTGTTCTGTTTTGTGGCTCCTAATATATTATTCCAGGGACAACCTCATTGAAGGAAAAGATTTTCCTGGCACAACAAACATTTTCTCAAATCGGCCTCAGCTGCCAGATAGTTTCAGCTTTGAATTGTTTGCTTCTATCGGGCCTGGAGTTGGTTTAATGAGACATTTCATGTCTGCCTTGTGTCAACAGTTTGTGAGCCTTGAAGCAACTCCAGTGCCCCCACCCTCCCCCATGCAAATTAAAGGCAAGGCTGCAGCCGCTGAAACCAAAGGGCTAGAAGCTGGAAAATGTCACACCACAGTTGAAGTGAAACTGATATAAATCCACAATGTGATCATCTCTTTAAAAAAAAAATTCCAAACAGATGCAAACTACATTTAATACTCAGCCTTTCCACATGAATAATGTGGAGAGGGTTTATATAGGGAAGGGTATTTTGAAGGTTAACAAGTGTTTGTGTAGCTCATAGTTCTTGATGTTATTATGTATTTACAAACAGTTGTGCACCAACAGATTATTATCAAACATTTGCTCATGCTCAAACACAAACGTAGCTTTTAAAAGACACTGAACTGGAAAGCTGGTTTGGGAAAAACATTGGCTCAGCTGTCTGTCACACAAGAGAGTGGGGATTGAAAAAGGAAAATGGGCTTCCAAGTATAACAACAGGCGGTTGCCTATAGCCACAGGAAGCTTTCTGCACTTGTTGCAGTATGGCGAGAAGGAGGTCGCCAACATACATAATCTATAGGTCCACTGAGGTTCTGCAGTTCCCTCACACTTTCCCTTCAGTCATGCCATTCCTGAAGCAACACATAAGCTAAAGCATCTGTGTTTCTGGATCGGTGACATCGATTGTGTTCCATTTACCTGATCTGAGCTTGGGACTCCCAGGAATTCCCAGAACATTCTCTAGTTACTTAAAAACCTCAAACTGACACCGTATTTATGCCTGCAGGCCAA